AAATTATGGTTTAAAATATAAAAATATGTAATAATTTTAGTATAATTATATATATATATATATATATAACAACTAAATTAATGCTTAAGTCTATTTAACTGAATGTATTGTAATTACATTACAACATTGATGCTGTAAAATAAAACTTGTGCAATTGTAAATAGTCACATTAAGCTTTCACTGGAAGTTTATCATTGTCGGAAAAACACTAGCTGTGCATAGAGCCCATTGGAAACAATTCTAAAACACATCTCTTGCTAATAATGATCAGAAGTCACTTACTAATAATGATTCAGTAGGTTTACATTTCAGTGGGAGAGATTTGGATGGTTCATTTTATTAAACTAGTTCATGTCCACGGTCCACTTACCATTGTGTATGTTTTAACAGAATCTAAACGTAATCTAAAAGAAGTCAACGTAAAAAGCACAAAAGAAATATAAATATAATCTAAAAGCAATCTACAGAACAGCACAAAAGTAATTTAAAACAATTACCAAAAAAATCACAAAAGTAATATAAATATAAACTAAACGCAGCCTAATTTACAAAAGAGCACTAAAGTAATCTAAAAGTAATCTACAAAAGGGCACAAAAATAATCTAAATGTAATCTAAAAGTAATCAACAAAGGAGTACAAAGGTAACCTAAAACAAACAGACAAAAGACCACAAAAGTATTCTAAAAGTAATCTACAAAGCAAAAGAGTACAAAAGTAATCTAAATGTAACATAAAAGTAATCTACAAAAGAGCACAAAATACATAAGTAATCTACAAGAGTACAAAAGTAATATAAAAAAACAAAACGAAAGACCACAAAAATCTTCTAAATGTAATCAACAAAAGAGAACAAAAGTAATCTAATGGTGATCTAAAAGTAATCTACAAAAGAGCACAAAATACATAAAAGTAATCTACAAGAGTACAAAAGTAATCTAAAAAAAACAAAACGAAAGACCACAAAAATCTTCTAAATGTAATCAACAAAAGAGAACAAAAGTAATCTAATGGTGATCTAAAAGTAATCTACAAAAGAGCACAAAATACATAAAAGTAATCTACAAGAGTACAAAGGTAATCTAAAAAAAACTAACAAAAGACCACAAAAGTCCTCTAAAAGTTATCTACAAAAGAGTACAAAAGTAATCTAAATGTAGTCTAAAAGTAATCTACAAAATACCACAAGACATAAAAGTAATCAACAAAATAGTACAAAAGTAATCTAAAACAAACAATCAAACAAAAGACCAAAAAGTATTCTAAAAGTAATCTACAAAGTAAAAGAGTACAAAAGTAATCTGAATGTAATCGAAAAAAGTAATCGACAAAAGACATAGAAGTAATCAACAAAAGAGTACAAAAGTAATCGAAATGTAATCTACAAAATTACAGAAGTTATCTAAAAGTAATCAACAAGAGCACAAAAGTAATCTAAATGTGATCTAAAAGTAATTTACAAAAGAGCACAAGTCATTTGAAACTAATCTACAAAAGTAATCTAAATGTAATCTAAAAGCAATCTCGCAAAAAGCACAAAAATAATCCAAAGTAAACTACAAAAGTAATCTAAATGCAATCCAAAAGCAGTCAGATTACGTTCCCATAAATCTGTGATCTGAGAGATTACAATTCTGACTACAAATTTTGTAATGTAATTTGCAATCATTCACTAATTACAATTGATCATTAATCCAGCAGCTCTGGATCTGAGTGTTACGTACACATTAAGAGTGGAAATAAGGCAAAAGCAGACGGCTTCTCTAGTCCTGTTGTTTTTATGTCTGAAGCCGGACAGCATTCGGTCCCACACAAACTGTAAATGGAAAACATGTATTAGTGTTATGCAAAGATTTAACATATTTTTATTCTGGACGGTGTTAGACCTGTGGATTTGCTGCTTGATCCATCATTTTCAGCAGAAGTGACTGCGCCTGATCTCGAACTTGCTCTTTAGAATCACCTAAACGGTCCATTAAACTGGGCAGAACTGGGAAAAAACATAAACAGCACAATAATTGGTTAATATCTGACATTATTAGATCATGTATTGCTCTAAGACACAACAAACGCATGAAATTAAGGTCAAATGCAAATATTTACGACACATTAAACTTAACAATAAATGTGTAAATACAATAAATGGAAAGCAGCTATTTAAAAATATAAGATTAATCAAACCTATGAAAACGTAATTATTATTATATTAATATAAAAAACATGTAAATGCAAATATAACAAGAAAAGATAATTCAAACTTAAATTCACATGTTTTATTACTAAAATAAATGTTCAATAAAAAAACATACATTAAACTAATTAATAACACTTTTAAATGAATAAACATTAACTGAAATATAATTTAAAACATTAACATTTATTTCAAATATCAGATATTTCTATTTAATTTTGGTTTACTTGAATTTTTATGCAGTTTAAATAAAATTAAAAAGTAATACAAACTATACAATCATATTTAAAAGCAAGAAAAAACTAAAAACTAAACAAAACTAAATTATTAATACTTTAGCTACAATAAAAGCTAATTTAAACTATAAATATTTAAAAATAATAATATTAATAATAATAAATAATAATAAGATATAATATAATAATAAATGAAATTATTTAAAATATATATAAACTTTTAAATATATATATTTAAAAAAAAATCATGAAAAATAAATAACATTTTAATGACGTCACCTGTTCCTATGTGTGTTTTAAAGTGTTCCTGTAGTCTGCTCACTAAAGCAGACACAATCTCCATTCCCAGCAGCGCCACCTTTAAAAGCACACACACACACAGAAGCTCATCAAAATCACGTACGAATAAGATCTTAAAATAAAAACACCAAAACCTCGCATTTTAAGTCACATTTAAAGCTCAAAAGTGCTCAGAACCCGCTATTTCAGCCCTCAGCCTCTGTATGCAAATCCAAGCAGCAAAGCATTCTGGGTAATTTGCACTAAACTGCCTTTAACGTTCAATATCATTAAAATGAACCGTAATTTCTGCTAAATTCTCGCTGGATATTGTCTTTAAACATATGTAGAATCAGAAAAGCATGATGAATTGCATAAACAGTGATATTTTTAAATTATCTCAGTCACCGTCTCTGTGAAGAGCAGCAGGAATGTAGGAAGCCATTGGCTGAGCTGCTGCGCTCCAACCTTCCTTGTCTGGGGGTGGTTTGGGCTGTTCAATGAAGGTTAACTGAGAACATCCCTGCTAACACCTAACCAACACAATCCGCATCACCTGAACTATTTTGGTTCGGGCTATGGTGCAATTTTTGGAACCCAAATAGATGTTCCGTTAACACCAAGAACAAAACTAAGAATAAATGGCGCCCTCTTGCGTACGACTACATAACACAGTATAGAGTAAGTCAGATATTCACAATCATGCAAAGGTTTAGACAGTTAAACAGTTGTGTATAACGTGAAATACCTTACAATAGAAATATATTATTTTGGTTATGAGGTTGATATTAATCTTGATAGTTAATAAATAATACTACACCGATTAATAACAAGGTTGTATTATTTTTTAGTTACCAAAACAAATATCAAACTCATAAAGAAACAATCCTTTCATATTTATTTTTATTTATTTGCAATATATTGTGTAAACTTGAACTTATTCTAACATTTTTGAGTTTAAGTTTATGGTTTAAAAATTAGAAATTATATATAATAAATATATATATATATATATCACAATTATTAGATATAATCACAATTAATTTATTAATTATATATATATATATATATAAAGACAAAAAGTTAAAGTATATTTAACAGTTTTTAAATAACATGTTGTGAATGAAATTTTATTGTAATTACTCA